ATGTTTCGTTTTACTTAAATATGTTTAGAGTTTAGGGTTTAAAGTTAGAGCTTAGAGTATTTTGCTTTATTTTTTATCATTCTAAAATTTAAATTGTTATTTTTTGACTTTTTGTATTTTGTATTTTAATAATTCGGTAGTTCAAAATAGACTTGATTTCCTTAATACGTAGATGATGAGAGAATGTGTTGTGAGAATTAATTTTGGAAATAACATTGTTATTCTCTTTATTATTATTATTATTATTATTATTTTTTTATTATCTACTTAAAAGAAAGCCATAAGCCTAGCTACTTTAATTTAGCGAGTCAAAATTTTCATTCCTCAATCTCCTTCTTGTTTAATTTACGCTGTTATTTGATACTTTTAATTTTGTGCCAATATTTTGATACCGTTCTGCTGAAGAACGGAACTACGTATAGTTTGAGTCGAGATGATAATATGTCGGTTAAGTCTGATTTTGTCTTTTTAAATGTTTGGTCTCATTTATTAATTTATTTAAAATTTTATTTTATGCTAATTAATTAATAACTATAATTTTAAAAAGTCAAAAATTATATTTTTAAATGTGAGGGTAAGTCATTTTTTAATTTACAAGATAAAAAAATAGTTTATTTCATTATTATTAAAATTTATATTTTAAAAGAAAAATAAAAAGTCTAATATGTAAGAGAGATAATTGGTATACTCATCACGGGTTGTAATAAGAGATTAATTTTATCAAAAAATAACTTTCTAAATATATTATATATCCTATTTAAAAAAATTTAAACAACTAACTATTAAAATGAAGGAAAAAACATATAAAGATATTGTTTTAATTTCTAATTTTTATTTCTTAATTTCATATGAACATGAAATGTAACATTTAAGAATAGGAAATATCATAAATATAGATAATTTTTTTATTAGAAATTTATTTAATTATATTATGAATAATGTAATATGTAAATTAATTTTTATTATAATACATAGTTAAATAGATCGATATATTAGGTTTAACAACTTTTTTTATAAGTTTAAATTTGATATTTTTAAATAAATATTTTTTAAGATTAAATCTGGCATTTTTAGTAACTAAAATTTATAAGAAATCATATATTTATTTATATATAATTTCTTTATATTTTAGTTATATAATAAATATTTGATCTATAAAGTGTATAAACTAATATACTTGTATTATTAAAATAAAAAATTCTAAAAAATATATTGACAAACGCTCTCCTAACACGTTAAAAAATGATGCTAAATAGTTTATACTACTACAAAGTTAATGTTTAACATCGTCAATTTTACATCGGTTCATGTAGAACGATGTAAAAAACGAATGCAGTAGCATAATTGTAAATAAGAGTACAATGTAAAGCATAGTTACATCGGTTGTAGAGAAGATCGATGTAAATGATGAACGTTTTACATCATTTTGGTGGGACCGATGTCGTTTGGAATTCGCAGTGGCATTTTCGTGAATAATTACAAGTATATCTACATCAGTTCTCCCAATAATCGATGTAGTATGAGACCCATATGCTTACCCGCTAAATGGTCTTTGCACGGAAAAATATCCACACTCAAATTGAAATTTATATTTATACAAAATAAGAAGTATTAAAGTAATGTTTATAATTTATAACTACTTGATTTTATGTTCGAAAAGGAAAAAAAAAAAAAAAACTACTTGATCAAAGTTCCAAAAATTTCCCACTCAAATTTCCCTGTAAAAATTTCCATACCATATCCCTTTTTAATTCAAACACAATTTTTATCTATTAATCATCCATCATCACTCATTTTATTTTTCGGTGTGTAGTTCTTTTATTGATTTCACATAAATCTGGTTAAGAGCTTGTTAAGTGTAAATTATATCAAATCTTAATGGCCTCGTGTGGTAACTTTCAAAGAGCTACAATCACATGGAGTTTTCTAATTGTTGTATCCTAATAAAACTCTTAAGAGAAAAACAAATACCTTGAGAAAATATAATATTCTAATGAGATTTTGGTTGTTTAAATGTTTATTTTCTTTTGCAGCCTCCTCAAGTCCACAACTTTCCTGTCATCTACATTTATTGCTCCAATTCCTTAGGTAACCCCGCATCTTGATCTATTTTATTTTAAAAACATTGAAATTAAATACTTCAAATTTATACGAAATAGATAGCAGTAAAGTCATCATCATAAAATAAGATAAAAAAAAATCTGCTTTATTCCATTACTTAAATCAAGATCTTGATTTTTTTTTTTTACAAAAAATTAACTACTTAATTTCCGTACTCATAAATTTCTCTCCATAATATCTCCGTTATATCTATACCTAATTTAAACACAATCTTGATCATTCTTGATTGTAATTTTTTTTTTTGAAATGCTGAAATATCCACCGTCTTGTACTTATTTTGAAACACAATCTTAATCAATCATTTCCTTCTTTTGGTGATATTGATCATATAACTTCTAAAAAGGGATCATTGCTACCTGATAAAATATGATCCATTTTGTTTACATATAAAATCCAAAAAATTTCCCACTGAAATTTCCCTTTAAAATACTCATAACCACTTTCATTCTTAGTCTTAGGAGGTGTATTAGTTTAGAATTTTATATAATTTTAAAAGACTTTTTTAAGTAAAAAAGTTTATTGGTATTTAATCAGGATTTTATGTTACTTAAAAATAATCCAGTGATATTTAATATAGATTTTCAAGATTTTTTTAAAGAGTCTATTAAAATCCATTGATATTCATTTGATACTTTTTATAACTTAAAAATATCATCGGTTCGCACACCTGTGTTAATATCAACCCACTTGCACTTAAAAATAGGAACTTTAAATTTAGTATAATTGATCTCCCAAATTTCTTCAATGACTCCATAATAACTTGTGGATGCCACAATAGGATTGTTATGCTCGTTGACCAATGATTTTTCATTCATTCTGGGGTTATTTTTCTTCAAAACAGTTTGGTGTTCAGATATGTAAGGGAGGACCTCATCAGTGTTGTTCAATATATACTGTTGTCAATTGCAGAAGAAGCAATTGAATTTTGTTCAGTGTTGTCCTCATGCCGAGACTTTGGAAGCCCTACAAGTTTTGCTTTAGACATGTACTCTGAACAAAATTCAATTGCTTCTTCTGCAATATACCTTTCAACAATTGATGCTTCTGGACGGTATGGATTCTTACTATAACCCTTTTAAAATCTTCATGTAACGCTCAACTGGGTACATCCATCGTAAATAAACAAGGCCACACAGTTTGATCTCTCTAACTAGATGAACTATCAAATGAATCATGATGTCAAAAAAGGCTGGAGGAAAATACATCTCCAATTCGCATAAGATAATAATAGCCTCATTTTCCAACTCATCCAATTTATCAGGATCAATGACTTTAGCACATATAGCATTGAAAAAGAAGCAAAAACGAGTTAACACACTTCTAACATTATTTGGCAAAATGTCACGTATAGCCACAGGTAGGAGTTGTTGCATCAAGACGTGACAATCATGAGATTTTAAGCCAACCAATTTGAGATCATTCAATGATACAAGGCTCTTAACATTTGAAGAGTATCCTTGTGGAACTTTCACACCTCTTAGACACCGACAAAAACTCATTTTCTCTTTTTTGACAAAGTATGACATGTTGGAGGCAAATATGTTCTCTTACCTTCTGACCTTGGATGTAATTGTGAACGTATACCCATCTCTAATAAATCTTGACGAGCATTGAATCCATCCTTTGTCTTGCCTTTAATGTTTAAAAGTGTGCCTATTACACTATCACATACATTTTTCTCGACATGCATAACATCTATA